GTCAATCAAGACCATTTGATGTATCCCAGAAGGCCTTTATTCGTATTAGACAATTAATTAATTAATTTTTATACCGCCCTTCTCCCAAAGGACTCAGGGCGGTCAACAGTTAAAATAACATACATATAAAATGTGAATATAAGATGATTAAGCTATAATTTGGTTCATCGGTTAAGAATCTTCAGCATAAAGTTTTAGAACAATTAGAAGAGATTTATGCCAGCCCGGCTTGGTGAAACAGAAAGGTCTTAAGTGCACGACGGAAAGTACGAAGATCTGGGATCATTCGTATCCCTGGGGGTAACCTGTTCCAAAGGATAGGTGCCCCCACAGAAAAAGCTCTTTCTCTGGGAACCACCAGTCGATATTGCTTTAGTGACGGCACCCTGAGGAGGCCCACCCTGTGGGAGCGTGCTGGTTGGTGGGAGGTTATTGGTTGCAGAAGGTGGTCTCGTAGGTACCCAGGTCCTAAGCCATGGAGCACTTTTATTATTGTTATTTATTGCCAAAGCAAAAAAATTCAAAATTAATTTGGACAATATGCAAGAAATTTGGTATAGATACTTGGAGTATGCTCTATTATTCAATCAGTAGCTTCAAAGTTTAATATTAGATACGTTTGTAATATCCTAAACATTCATTCAGTTCAGAAAAACTCTTTGATAGGGCTAATTGAGTTAGTCAAAGGATGCTTTAAGAAAGTTCCCCTTTTATGCTGGATATATAATAAATTTGAAGAAACATGAAATAGACATGTTCACTTGTAATTCCTTCTCAGTTTTATGTTAATGTTGAACCACATTCTTGGAGAGATGTCAGTGATTTGTTAAATATCCTTAAAACTGGGAATCTTAATCTCAGGAATCTTTGATAGATTCGTGTTTGATTTGCTGCAAAAAAGTGATATATTCTTGGAAGCTACTTGTGCTCCAAAAGTTAAAACTTGTTTTAATAAAAATTTGTCAACTGCTTTCAAATTACCTTTGTTCACAAAGAGATAATAATAAGATAATATCATTATTTGTGGTCTATGTTTAATTTATTGCTTAAAAATTAATATTAAAATTAAAGAAAGTTATATAATTTGAATTGTTTGATTTCTCTGTGTGTTTGGTTTTATTTTTGGTTATTTTTAAAAAATAAATTCCTAAGTTTGTTTGTTTATCCCCCTTGCCCCAGTTTCCCCCATTACAGTTTTTTAATAGGTTTCTTTGTAGCAGTGTATAATGTTATATAATAATAATATGATTAATTTAAATATAACACAATAACATTTTTTTTACAAAATGTTATAAAGTTTGTAAAACTAAACTCAAAAGTTTGGAGATCCACACATTTCCTTGGGAACGCAGTTAAATTTGGCTATTTTAAGGTAGGCAGATCAAAGATTACATCACAACATAATTTAAGCCTTTCTAAATAAATTCAGCAAATTGAATTCCTATATAAATGTTTATTGCATATTTAGCTTCCCTTAAACCTGAAATTCAAGTCCACCTAATTTTAAAAAGTATAGATAACATGCCATACATTAATTTATTTTAAAAAAATTCTAAACATATTCTTGGATACAAATGATTGAATGTAGTTATTACACTTTTCATTTCTAGAACCTGTTGATTCTCCTCTAATTAAGCTTGCTTAGTTTATATGGCAGAGCCATAAATTGTTACTAGTTTTGTAATTTTTTTAACTGCATGCAAACCCAAAGAGCATTGTTTATAATAAAATGTTCTTGTCATGTGTGCAGATATTAAATGTTTCTTGTCGCCTTTCAAGAGCTGAAGTGTTTTTGAAAGTGAAATTGAAGATTCTACAACAAATAACTTATTTATATGGAGATTAGTATAAGAGTATTTAGATCAGAGCTAATTCTTTTGCTAAAATGTGTAATTCAACTGATGAATTGCAGATCGTGATATGGGAGCACGTCATAGAGCCCGTGCTCATTCTATTCAGATCATGAAGGTTGAAGAGATTGCTGCTAGCAAATGCCGCAGACCTGCTGTCAAACAGTTCCATGTAAGTAAAACAAATTTTAAGTGTGTGTGTGTTCTCAAACTGTACAATTTGGAAATTTTTCTACTTTCTATGAAACTTTATAATTCTGGTCAATGACTATAAGAAGATTGATTGAACGCATATATATTGAAGTTCCTCCATTAATTTGGAGTCACAGACTGTTCAGATAACTACAGAAATTACTGCAGGTTTGTTGGAAAAAAGCTGAAGAAGAATACTTTGTGTACCAATTTGATCTTCTAGAGAAAATGAGATATTAATCTGACAAACATACAATACTAAAAATGCTAATATGCTAGAGTTCTAATATATATTTTTTAAAAAACAATTTTCCAAAATGATCCAGTTTCTTACTATTTAGCATTATACTTACTTTAAAAAGTATATAACCACTTGGCTTGTTTATTAAAAAAAATATTTTATAATTGTGCTCTAAGAAATCCATCCTTTATTTTGCATAGAATAAATAATCACTTGGTACTAACATTAGAAATATATGTGTTTTCACTAGAAAGTGTTCTTAAAATTTTCTGAATAGTACTCACTGGTGAAATTTTATTTGGGCTTCTAATGAAATTTAATTTCTTTCTACAGGATTCTAAAATTAAATTCCCTCTGCCACACAGAGTGTTGCGCCGTCAGCATAAGCCACGCTTCACTACCAAGAGACCAAATACATTCTTCTAAATGTAGGCTTGATTGATATGGTCCATGTATCAATAAAGTTTTTTGAACATTTGATTATGTTTTAAACCATATTTATTCTACTCTTATTTATATGGCTCCTCATCTCATCAGTGTGACTGTGAATGGCAACAGTTTTAAACATTTTAAATGTTTAACAATAAGCATTAACTAGCAACCAAGACAAATATAAACACAACAGCTTTACAGGCTCTGACTCCAATCCTTCCAGCCCTTGCAAAGGCCAACAGGTTCAAGGCCAATCTAAATTATGTTCCACAAAGTAGATGCCATAACGCAAAAGGTGCTCTCTTCCTGGCATTTTCCAGATGAACTAATTGACAAAATCCATAGCATGTTTCTTATGTCATACATGATGGGACAAGTGGACATAATCAAGTAGAGGTGGTTCTCACTTTTGCAAATAAAATGCTTCAAAATTCAATATCTCCTTAGAATGGTCCCAGCTCTACTATACCCTAATTATGCAGAAGGCTGAGGTGATAAGAATTTTAGATCTTGCATAAATGTTCACAGGGCATGTTTATTTACATCAACTTTCATAAACAATTTCAACTTTATAAAAGTAAAACTTAATTTCTGTCTGGCAACATGCTAAGTAAAGATGCAGAAAACTCAATAATGTTCAGTTGAACAATACATTTTCTCAAAAATAGTATTACTGTTTGAAGAAATATCCATCTCGTTCAGTTCCAAGTGGGGAGAAAGACACTGGAAATATGGAGGCTGATTGGAAAGATGTTTATTGATGGACAGGACCACATGGGTTTTGAGGTCCCGGGCAGCTGACCACATGGTGTGGAGAGAGAGAGGTAAATTTATACCTCTCTTGGGCTTTGAACTTGAGCTTCTTGTTCCTGTGCAAGAATATATTCTATTGGCTACTGTTAGACTCCCATGGGGCTATGCAGGGGTCATAGCTGAGGTTGTCTAAGTTTGGTTGAACCTTGCTGGGTGATGCTGGTCCTTAGGAAATTTTGAAATGCAGTGAGCCCTGCTGCTAGATGGGTAGAGGGCTAATCCTATTATGTCCTGAGGGGTCATGTCTTAATCCCATTACCCTGGAGCTGGAGGTTTTTTGTAGATAGGCTGGCCCAGTCTTTCTTAATGTGCACCAAAATATCTGCTGGGGGCAGGGTGCTGGGGTTCTGTTTCCTTTAAGATTTTTATTTCTCTTTTAAGGGAAATATTTTATCTTGCCTTTTTAGTATTTCCTAAAATACTTCATTCTTCTAGGAGGGGTGGATGCTACACTACCTTCTTTAGAATTAAACGTGCCTCAATACAGAAATCATAAGACTTGGAAAATACGTCACAGATCATGTAATTGACCCTCTTCACTGGGAAAATACATTGCAGCATTGCAATTGTATTCTAAAAATAGCACATTTATACACTGAAAGCCCAGAGAAAAACCTTGTTGATGTCACTTTTCTTTCAGGTATACTTTTCTTTCAGTCCTGCTTGTTCTGGAAATAAATCCTGCTTTTATGTCCTGAGATCTAGAATTTACAATAATACATAAGCACGTATCCAAACTGAATAGCATTAGCTATTCAGACTTAAGACTTACATATTGCTTTACAGAGTCCACATATTGCCCCCAACAATCTGAATCCTCATTTTACCAATCTCGGAAGGATGGAAGGCTGAGTCAACCTTGAAAGAGGAACTGTGGGCAGTCAGCAGAATGCGTGGTAACCACTGGGCCACCACACAGCTCTTCTAAATAGGGGGGGAAAGATCTATGGGTCTTATTCAAACTTCATACTTTTCCTTTGCATCTAAGGTCAGTAGACCTCTATTACTAATAGAGGCGAACTTAATTTGGGTTAGCATCTATTACGAAAGCGCTAGAAAAAGCTATTCAGCAGGAGAAAGCTTGTTGGGTACTGAAACAGTCAATCAGTGTTTGATTTTTAAGCCTCTTCGCTGAGCAGCCTTTTTCAGCGTTTCCCTAATAAGTTCCCGAGTTAAGCTCAGCTCTGTGGCCTTAGCTGATAGTACTTCCTCGCTAGCTCTTGCTACTGTCTGAAACGGATGAGACCTTAATCCAGTGTTTCTCAACCTTGGTAGCTTGAAGATGGGTGGACTTCAACTCCCAGAATCCCCCAGCCAGCACCCATCTTCAAGCTTCCAAGGTTGAGAAACACTGCCTTAATCAGTTACACGCGGAAGAATGTTTGCCTCCTAACCAATAACTGAATCGCTTCTCCATTGCTTCCACAGAGACCTCGTTGCCACGCCCTTCCCGTCCCCGATAAGTCACGTGGGGCTGAGCCTTTGAAAACCGCCTCTCCGGAATGGCTCCTGAAGGGGAAGGGGTTGGGCTCACGCCTGTCATGGCCTCGCCTCTCGCTCACGTGACTGTGGTTCCTGTGGGTCCGGGGCTGTCGCTTGGCGCAAAGGCTGGCGAGCGGAGGCAGCCGCGATCGTCGCGGCGGCGGCGGCGGCGGGCAGCGAATGGGGGAGCCGATGCCCGTGGGAGCGCCAGTCCCGGTGGAGCAGGCAGTGCTGGAGACGTTTTTCTCTCATTTAGGCATCTTCTCTTACGACAAGGCCAAGGACAATGTGGAGAAGGAGCGCGAAGCGAATAAGAATGCCGGGAGCAGCTGGCTTTCGCTCCTGGCCGGGCTGGCCCATTTGGCGGCGGCTGAAAAAGCCTACCATAGCATGACCTTCCTGGGCCAGAAGCTAGGTACCCAAAGTCGGGCTGCTGCTGGGCGCTGCATCCCACCTTCTCCATTCTGCTTTGGGGGGCGCTTCCCTGCGAAGGAGTCCTGAGTCATGGGCAGGGCTAGAGGAGGAGGGCGGCGTAGGGCTGGGTCTGGGGAAGAAGACTTTTTCTCATCTGCTGAGCCCCGCTCAGGGCTCGCCAAAAGTCAGTGCTGGTGGGGAGGCTTGAATCCCGACCTTTCTTACAGAACCGATTCAGTTTTCCAAATTCGTGCATTTCTAAGCTTATCCGAAGCACCGTTGCTCCCTTCAGAATGACTCGCTCTCTTTTTCTCCCTCTGCATCTTGAGCGAAAACATTTGGGGTTGAGGTCTTATCAGTACCACTGTCCTTGGTGCTTTTGCTTATGGTGGAGAGGTGTTACTTTTGGACAGAATGTGCAGATTACATAGGAAAATCAATGTTTACTTGAAACAGGTAACAAGTTGAAACACCCCCCCCCCCATTTCTGATTAACTGTGGCTGTAATGTAGATTAGTACTTGCGGAGCTGTGCTGCCCATTTTGAACTAAAAGCTCTGTTCTTTTATAGAATCTCACAGAGAAAGCTAGTAGGTAACATTTGGAACTGAATTTTCTTTTAAGGCTCTTCCTGAATTTTGTTAAATTTAGCTGAACAAAAATGACAACTAAAATCATCTTTAAAATGAGAGGGTAGTGAACAATAGGTGTAATATATATCATAAGTGTAGTAGGAACAGTCTGCCAGTTTGTTGCTAGTTGTGAAGTTGTGTCCGACTTCGTTCGTCCAGGCCTTCCTGTCCTCTACCATCCTCTGGAGTCCATTTAAGCTCACACTGACTGCTTCAGTGACTCCATGCAGCCACCTCATTCTCTGTCGTCCCATTCTTCTTTTGCCCTCAATCTTTCCCAGCATTAGGCTCTTCTCCAGTGAGTCCTTCCTTCTCATTAGGTGGCCAAAATATTTGAGTTTCATCTTCAGGATCTGGCCTTCTAAAGAGCAGTCAGGGTTGATCTCCCCTAGGACTGACTGGCTAATGTAGTATAAATTTTATTCATATTTTTAAGACTAGCCCTTGAAATCTCAAAATTGGTATTATCAATAGGCTTTCTTCTGGATTATATTGCTTTATGTAATGTGGGTAATTAATATAATTTGTAGTATTGCTAAATATGCACTAAGGATAGCAAAAACTATCTTGACTTAAAGACACATAATAAAAGTTACAGATAAAAGGAAGAAAGGAAGTTGGAGAGAGAAATGAAACTATATAGTAGTTGGAAAAAGAAAATATTAAAAAGAATCACTTGGTAATAAAATGACTGGCACATTCTGAGGAAAGTAATGAAAATGTCTTAGTATTTAAGAGAGGATAAAGTGCAAGGAAAAAAGTATACTTCTAATTTAAAATTGATTCATTCTAAACCTGCAGCTACCTATGGTTCTACCTTCATGGAAGGGTTATTTTTCTTTCACTTCTTTAATTCTCTTCATGGTTATTAGTCTTGTCGCTTTATATGCAGGTCTTCTGGTACATATAGCCATTACCTTGACTCCTATATAGTTATATAGAGTTTCTTTCATCTTCTGCTTGGTCAAAAAGCTGAACCACCTAGACTAGAGCTTTTAGTAGCAATGTGAAGTATCAACATTTAACAATGGCTGTTTACATTAATTTCCCAGGAAAGGAGCTCTTTTTCATTGTAACTAATTTTAAAGTTCTAAATATTGTGGAAACAAAGGTTGGATTTTGAGAGAGGTGAAAGTTTTTTAATAAATCATGCTGATAAATCGTAAGTTAATATTTTAACTACAGGATGAATATATACTGGTATTAAGGAATAATGAAAGCAGCTGTTAAAGTGTACCCCCTGAATGTATCAATCAAAAGAAAATTTGCATGAATATTGTATCTTCATTTCATTCCTATCTTTAGTGACACCCTATTCTTTAAAAACAAACAATAGGTGGGCAATCATTCTTCAGCCGTAAAGATTCTATACGAACTATATATACGTCTCTACATAATGAGCTGAAGAAAGTGGTAGCAACTGGTCGGAATGCAGTGGGAGGAACAGCTCCTCACCTTGAAGAACTACTTTCTCATCTTTCTGAGCAGCTCTGCTTCTTTGTCCAGGCTCGGATGGAAATTGCTGACTTTTATGAAAAAATGTACAGCCTCAGTACCCAAAAGTATATAAACTCTGAGGAACTGATAAATGTTTTGGAATCCATCCTCAAAAGATATAGCTCAAGGTTAGTATGTGTACACTATACAGAATGACTGGAAATCTGTAAAATTCTTATTAATATGGTAAAGGTAACAATACTCTCAAGTTGAGCTCTTGGTAACTATTTTCACAGTTATTCTGCCAACAGTAAGAAAGTGGTTTACTATGTTTTCAGGATGTTTTAGGACTTTCCAGTCTAGCCAACAGCACTGAAATTCTGCTGTTGTCTACTATCTAATTCTAAACTCTAATTAGGACTCACCAGATCAGCCATTGGATAAAATGAAAGCATGTTTTAAATTTCAAAACTAAGATTGTTTAGTTTCTATTTTTGTAAAATATGTAATATATTCATAGTATCAACATTCTTTAGGCAAGAGTTTAGACAATATTCAGTTATATATATTATAATATTTAGAATTAGAATTCTAAAGCAAATATAGCACTGTTTTCATCTTTACATTTTTAACCAGAAAACCAGTACATGTGTACACAGTTGCTTAAAGGGCCTGGTGGCTCAGCAGACTGATAGCATTGTGATTAACACCAGCTGTCTGCAATTACTGTAAGTTCGAATCTCACCAGGCTCAAGGTTGACTCAGCCTTCCATCCTTTCTAAGGTAGGTAAATTGAGGACCCAGTTTGTGGGGGCAATAAGCTGACTTTGTATAAATATACAAAAGTATGAAGGCTATTGCTTAACACATTGTAAGCCGCCCTGAGGCTCTGGAGAAGGGCGGCATATAAATCAAATTTTTTTAAAAAAAATGCAGACCATAATCTGATTTATGATTTGCAAAAAACTGAAATACGTATAATATAGGCCCAAATGTGATTTTCGAGCCAAAAGTGTTTTGAGGAAATGGGGAGAGGAGGGGGGGGTGGGGCAACAAGAAAAAGTGATGTCATGGAGTACAATTTAATTACTATATGTTTTGATCTATAAGACACTCTGGACTATAAGATGCACCTAGCTTTTGGGGAGGAAAACAAGGGGAAAAAATCTGCCTCCCAGCAATTTGCCTCCTTGCAGCAAGCAGCAAACAGCCTGTTCAGCTTCAGCACAGCCTGATTTAGCATGAGCAGGTGATTAGTGGTTGGATCGGCCTCCCAGAATACCATCAATTCCAGGCTGCGGGGATTGCTGCCCATTGCCACCTACGCATGCCCCATTTTCAGTCTCCGTGGGCCCCATTTTTGGCCTCTGCACACCTTGTTTTTGGCCTCCACATGTCCCATTTTTGGCCCATTCTAGACAGTAGCGGAGATCCCCACTGCCTGGAATGGGCCCAAAATGGGATGTGCGGAGGCCGAAAATGAGGTGTGTGGAGGCAGCAATAGGTGGCGATGGGCAGCGGCGATCCCCGCAGCCTGGAACAGCTGATCAGGGGCATTCTGGGCGGCCAATCCAACTGCCAATCAGCTGCTCGTGCTAAATCAGACTGTGCTGAAGCTGAGGCTGTTTGCTGTTTGCTGCAAGGAGACAAATTGCTGAGAGGCAGAGACTGTAAGGTTCGGGCCAAAGGGTGGGTGGGGCTTCAACATTTGATCTATAAGACGCACAGACATTTCCACCCACTTTTGGGGTGGAAAAAAGTGCATCTTATAGACCGAAAAATACAGTACATAACTGATGCTTTCCTTAGTTCATCTCTCTTAAGCCATTGGAAAGTATTAAGACCTAAGCCTTCTGTAGGTGCACACATAAATGAGATGGGATGGATAATGTTTGTTGGATAATTGTTGGAGAATAATGATGATCTTTTTAGATGTGCCATCAGAGTAAATAAAATAATTCATAGCTCTTAAGATATTGGATATCTAGTGCCAAGGGTACTTAGTGCTGATTTGGTATAAACTCATTAAGTGATATAAGAGTGATCATTCATCTAATTTTATTTATATTCTGTCTTTCTTATTTTTATAAATAAAGCAGCAATACCTGATATTTATATTTATTTTTGTAAGCCATTGAGTTACTGACAATAAGTGGGGACCATAAAATTCTTATAAATAGATATTCCTTCCTCCTATTTTCCCTACAACAGCAGGCCTGTGAGGGGGCTTGGACTGAGAGAGAATGACTAGCCCAAAGTTGCCCAGCTGGTTTTCATGCCTGAGTCAAGACTAGAACTCAAAGTCTCCTGGTTTCTGGCTTGGTGCCTTAACCACTAGACCAAACTGGTTCTGTAGCAAGTATAGAACTACCTGGTGAATATTTAATTTTTGTTAGAAACAGTGAAAAAAGTGTGGTATTACAGCTTTCATTAATTGTTGGCTTAGAAATACTAACAAGGAATGATAGTCTCCTTTTATACTATAAAGATATATTGTAAATAAGAATATTGAGTGTGTGTGTATACTGTATTTTTCAATATATAAGACACACTTCTCCCCCCCCCCCCAAAAAAAATAGTGGGTGGAAATGTCTGTGCATTTTATGCAGCAAATGTTGCCGAAGCACCCACCCACCTGCCGGCCCCCATCCTTCAGCCTCTGCCTCCCAGCAAATTATCTCTTTGCAGAAAAACAGCAAACAGCCTGGTCAACTTCAGCACAGCCTGATTTAGCTCAATTAGCTGAATGGCGGAAGGATAGGCCGACCGGGATTACCGCCTATCAGCTGTTCTAGGCTGCAGAGATTGCCACCGCCCGTCGCCACCATTGCCGCCCATCACTGCTGCCACCTATTGCCGCCTCCATGCGTCCCATTTTCGGCCTCCATGTGCCCCATTTTTGGCCTCTGTGCATCCCGTTTTTGGCCCGTTCCAGGCGATGGAGATGGGTGGTGGCAGCAGCGATTCCTGCCGCCTGGAACAGGCCCAAAAGGGGACGTGCGGAGGGCAAAAACATGGCGTGCTGATGCCAAAAACTGGGCATGTGGCGGTAGGCCACAGCAGCGATGGCCGACGACGGGAGGTGACGATCCCCGCAGCCTGGAACAACTGATAGGCGGTATTCCAGGAAGCTGATCCAACCACCAATCAGCTGCTTGTGCTAAATCAGGCTGTGCTGAAGCTGACCAGGCTGTTTGCTGCAAGGAGGTAAATTGCTCAGAGGCAGATATTTTTCCCTTGTTTTCATACCCAAAAGCTAGGTGCATCTTATACTTCGGAGCGTCTTATAGTCCGAAAAATACGGCATATATTGAACTAAAGTATATATGTTTAACTAAAACAATAAATGGCTTGTTGAGATAATACCTTTTATGTACTATTTTTCCACCTTTTCTAGATTTCATCATCCAATCCTTAGTCCTCTGGAGGGCAGTTTTCAGTTAGAAACTGATGTGCTTATGCATCTTCTGAAGGCTCAGGCCCAGATCTCTGAATGGAAGTTCCTCCCATCCTTGGTCCACTTGCACAATGCTCACACCAAATTGCAGACATGGGGACAGATTTTTGAGAAGCAGCGGGAAACAAAGAAGCATCTCTTTGGTGGGCAGTCTCAGAAAGCTGTTCAACCTCCACACCTTTTCCTGTGGCTAATGAAATTGAAAAATATTCTCCTTGCCAAATTTAGCTTTTACTTTCATGAGGCACTTAGTCGACAAACAACCCTATCTGAAATGAAAACTTTGACTGCAAAAGCTAATCCTGATTATTTTGGGAAAATCTCTAGCTTCATCAGGAAATACGATGCTATTAATGTTTCATTAATCTTTGACAATCGTGGCTCAGAGAGCTTTCAGGGACATGGTTATCATCATCCCCAGTCCTACAGGGAAGCCCCAAAGGGTGTAGACCAGTATCCAGCAGTGGTATCGCTGCCCAATGACAGGCCTGTCATGCACTGGCCTAATGTCATCATGATTATGACTGATAGAGCTTCTGATCTGAATACTTTGGAAAAGGTGGTTCATTTCTATGATGACAAAGTTCAGAGCACATACTTCTTAACCCGACCTGAACCTCATTTTACCATTGTGGTTATTTTTGAATCCAAAAAGTCTGAGAGAGACTCTCATTTTATCTCTTTCCTCAATGAAACGTTCTATTCTCTTAAGAACTCTAAAGCTTTTGCAAGCCTGAAGCCAGGATCCAAAGGGTAAGAGGACTGTTAAGACAAGATAGACAACAGTAACACAACACATTCCAAGCTTCCTCAAATAAGCATTTGTACATGATGTCATTATTTTTAAAACTATTTTAATAAGTATTTAATGATGAAAATTAAATTATTAAGCATTTTTGGAATGAAAAATCAGAATTATATAGAATTGAATGGGAACATGCAAATTACACAAAGGTGCACTAAAATTATCTGGAGTTTTGATCAACTTTTTTTTTTGTCTGTGACCCTTGTTCTTCCTATATGCACTTTATCTTTTGTTACTTCTTTGTTTAGGGTCTGCAGAAAATTTGGTTTCAAATTTTCAACCCAGAGCTCACTGTCTTCTCTTAAAGTGTTTTTCAGTCATAGTCACTGGAAAATGCTAGAACTTAGAAGGAAATAATTGCAATAAATGAAATGCATTGTAGAATGAAGTATTTTATTTTTCCATTGCTTCTGCACCTTTCAGATAGTTATAAAAGCTTGGTTTGGCATTCTGTATTTTTCTAATGTGATACAGAAATTATTCTGAAATTCCTTACATTTACATACCTTATTTCCTCGAAAATAAGACCCTGTCTTATACTTTTTTGAACCCTGAAATAAGCGCTAGGACTTATTGCCATATTATCAGGGGGTGTCTTATTTGGGGGGAAACAGAAAAGAAACTCATTTTAAAGCTGCATTTTAAAGTTCATTTTAAAGCTGCAACATTACTGGCAAAGTTGAGCAGCAATAATTTTCAATCCTAAAACTAAGTGCTGAGGGTTAACAAGTGGAGTTTTTTATTAAATTAATGATATTCTGTAATTAAATTTGAATGTTAATAACATTTAAAAATTAGAAAAGAAAAATAGAAGCAGGAAGATATGTAAAATAATACAGAAGGAACTGTACAGTATTATAAAAATCTGGTAAAATGATTACCAGGACAAAATTACAAATCAGGATTAGTATTTTAAATACTAAGTGCTAACTAAAATAATAAATGGTATTTTGGCTCTGTTTGGATTATTGTATTTTAGATTAATAAGATTTATTTATGAAAACATTTCAGGTAAGCAGTTTGGTTAATAGTTCTATTAAATTTGTTTGCCACCCATCTCTTCACAAGGGGACTCTGGGTAGCTTACAACACTAAAAACACTGAAACCATAAAAATAAATATTTCTAATAAAAATACAAATTATAATTAAAAGATGGAGCAGAATAGAGCAGGATCACAAGGGAAGAGGTGGGATCTTCTATTGGTCCATCAACCACCTCCAACATTCTTCCCCTTGGGGGCAAACCAGCTGGCAGAGCCGGGTCTTCAGAGCCTTATGAAAGATCAGGAGAGTGGAAGCAGATCTTACCCTGGAGTTGGGGAGGGGGATATGTTGCAAAGGGCAGGAGACATGGCATATATTGCTCTTCTCCCGGACACCCCTCCAACTGGAATACCTTGACAAACAGGGCACACAGCATGCCTTCTCTGCCAGGGTGAGTGGGGCAGGCCAGTCCCATTGGGGTGAGACAATTCCTCAGGTAACCTGGATCCATGCCGTGCAAGACTTTAAAGGTGATAACAACTTGAATTGCACTCAGAAGCGAACTGGCAACCAGTGCAGCTTGCAGAACAGTGGTGTAACGAGCCATTCTAGGGGCCCCAAGGACTGCCCAACCTGCAGAGCCAGATTTTCCTATAGGCTAACTAGGCTTCAGCCTAGGGCCTCAAGATCAAGAGGGGGCCTCAAGATCAAGAGGGGCCTACATTCAAATTGTTAGCAAAATTAAAATTACACTTTCACTATAGGTGAAAGGGCCTCATAAATGGAATAGCCTAGGGCCTCTTTTCATCTAAATCCGGCCCTGCCAACCTGCCACACATTGCACCAGTTGTAGCTTCCAAATACTCTTCAAGGGTAGCCCCAAGTAGAGCATATTGCAGTAGTTCAGACACGAGATGACTTGGGCTTGAGTGACTAAGTGCAGACTCCTGATGCAGGAAGGGATGCAACTAACACACAATGTGAAGTAGTGCAAAGGGTCTCCTAGCCACAACTTCAAGCAGCAATCATGAGTCCAGGAATTGCAGACGGGGGATGTCTGGGATGGTGCCATCCCATCCAGAACCAAAGTCCCGGATCTTGAAGTTCCATGCACTTAAAGCCATTCAGTCTGACCACGGTTCAATCAAAGCCTGTTATCCCCCATCCAAACACTCCCCCCCGCCCAATCTCCAGGAATCACTGGAGGGTAGTGACAGCATCACTTCGATTACCATGGGTGAGATATAAATTGAGCATCATTAGCATACTGATGATACTTCAACCCATGGCGGCAGGTGATCTCTCAAAAGGAGTTGAGAGTACCGAGCCCTGCAGCATGCTACAAAAAAGCAGCCATGGACTGGAATCTCTCCCTATCAATACCAATTGCGACTGATCTTGGAGAAAGAAACCAAATCAGTGCATGATTGTGTTGCCTAGCCTCAAACTCCATAGCTAGCCCTAAATGATACCATGGTTGATGGTATTAAAGGTTGCTGAGAGAAGTCAAGAAGAGCAAGGATGGTTGTACTACCTCCATCCCGCTCTTGCCAGAGATCATCGACAAGTGCAACCAATGCTGTTTCTGTCCCATAACGACCTGAATCGTAACTGGGAGGGGTCTAGATAATCTGTTTCATCCAGGACTCTCTGAAGCTGCCAAGTAACCACCTTTTCTATCACCTTCCCTAAAAAGGGAAGACGGGAAACTGGACAGAATTTGTCCAGGCAGGTGGATCAAGTGATGATTTTTTTTAAAGGAGGGATCGAACCAAGGCCTCCTTAAATGGCTTTGAGAACATACCTTCTTGCAATGAATAATTTATCATTGCCTGAACCCCCTGACAGTCACTATCCTAGAGGTTGTCACCAGCCAAGAAGAACTAGGATCTAATTGGCAGGTGAGGTGCTGATAACGTCAAGGACCCTGTTCCTCAGGTTCAGCCAGATTGAACTCTTCCCAGATAACCAAGCAAGATCTGCACAGCACATGGGTTTCAATTGGAAACAAATCCGAGGTTGCTCGTTTTTACATAACTGAAAATAAAATAATAGAAGACTGTAAAGAGCTAATGCACGGCTGAAAGAATCATATCACAGCTAGTTAAACTGAGACATTGTTTAAATGAAACCTTTTTCAGTACATCAGCATTTCACAGATAATTGGCATCCACTGTTAGGGAAAGAGTGATAACATGCACATCATGACACTGCAAGTCACTGTATACCTCACACCCAGTGGTGGGATTCAGCCAGTTCGCACCACTTCGGGAGAACCAGTTGTTAACTTTCTGAGCAGTTTGGCAAACTGGTTGTTGAAAGAAATCATTAGGACAGAAAACCAGTTGTTAAATTACTTGAATCCCACCACTGCTCACACTATACTTGTTTCTGATATTGTAATACAAATATGAAATGGCACAGCTTGCACTGTAGGATGCATATTTTGGCTAACTATGAATGCCTACAGATAACAAAATAGTTCTGTTGCATTAAACCAGAAATCTGTGATTCTGTTGCTATCAAGACGTTTTTGGGAAACAAAATGTGAAAGTGACAATTTATGTTAATTATTTGGATAATATTATTGGGATGCAAGTAGCCATTTTTATATTTATACCACAATGCCTCATTTCTGGATTCTAGATGATTTGTTGTGTATTTTTAATAAAATAATGCAGAATGTAAAACCACACACAGGACTAAGTTCTACATTGGCAGCTCAGGAATGAATCCTAAAATGCTCTCTGGAAAAACCAGGTTTTTACAACTTCCCAGAAGGCTATAAGGATGGGAGCAGTCCTTACCATGGAAGGTAAAGGCAAGCTCTTCCATTGGAAGGGAGTCTCTACAGAGAATGCCTACTATTAGGCCACTTTCCATCATTCCAATGGTAACTGAGCAGGCATTTTCTGATTGGTTGAGATGGTATATATCAGGCGCTACAGTCTGTTAAATTCTCAAGATCCATCCTGGCAACTCCCATAACAATGGTATACAGTAGCTTGTAAGCACTTAGTGCTTCTCGAGCGTGACTACTTTAAAGTGCATGGACTTCTAGTCCCAGAATTCCTCAGCTAGCCAGGTTGGCTATTTTGAGAGTAGAAGTCCACACATCTCAAACTTGCCCTGCTTGAAAAACACTGACTTGCAGGCTTCTGCAAGTGTACCAGCTGAATTATTTTTTTTATTGGTTTTCGGTTTTCAAGTGGAGCCCCAAATTACAATAATTAAATATTTACTTGGTGCTAAACAAATGTTTTTCAATTGTTTCATTTCTTGTATTTAAGCAGCTATATGCAATGGGAACCAGACTACTGAATGTGAACAACAAAACGTGGATGAATATGCTTCTTTTAGTCAAACTTTAGACAAAATATCAGAGGAAAAAGTGAGACTGTCTACATAATTATGTTTCTTACACTTCATATGTCTTATACATCCCCTTGATCTCAGAGTATTGTGGATTTAACACTTGGTTTTGTCAATACGACAAGGACAATGCACAGATTGAGCTCCACAGGCTATTTTTGAAAAAACGCTGAAGTAAAATAGCTGCCCTGCTTTATTTAGGTGCAGCAAAAAATGGATTATTTGTTTTTGAAGTGATAGCATTTATTCTATTTTGGAGATAAATTGGGGGAAGGGAGAAATTGCTATTGCTCTGAGACAAGAAACATAACATTCATAGATTGTTACACCTTCTGGTTTAATTTCCAAATGTAGTATTTTAGATTTGCTGAATGGAATATAATTGTAAACAGTTAAAACTTTAACAATAACACAGGTAATATGGGATAACTGTTGCCTCTATTGATTGGTACATCAATTGCAATTACTGAATGCTTCATCATAAAATGATTGTCACAGGGACAATCCTGTGTTTTCTGTTCTCCTATGATATATTTTCCCATTTTTACCTTGTCTAAAATTGACACTTGCCCTTTTCCTCTTCCAGTTCCTTTAGCTTTTTTTTTTTTCTATTTTCCTTATAAACAATGCCCAGATAATTCTTTAATTGCACAGCCTTTCAGGAAATGTAATTTTAAATGTCTATATTAATATTAAACTTAAAAGCATCTAATTTTGGAAAAGAGGTACAGATCCCATCTTGTTGTAATGAACTCATATAAAAAGATTACAGGAGAAGTTGATAAAATGTTATTTGAGCTTCAGGTAATATCATATCAATATACTAATACAGTATAACAAAGCCACAGTCCATATTTGACAGTCAATTACTTGACATACTTGACAGTAAGTAAATATCCTGCACAACAGGATATTTAAAGAAAAATAGTCATACCTTTAAGCTGTAAATATTTAGGTGCTAATAGATCTGGGCTCTTCAACTTTTTTGGACTTGAACACATATTTAGAATTTGAAAATTAATATAAATAGTGCTTAGTTTCAAGATTTGTGACTGCAAACAAAACATTCATTTTATAGATAGAGAGTCAGAAGATATTCCTTGGAATCCCTAGTTTTCTGTACCGTTTCTCAAAAATGTATAACAATTTCCTCAGATCCCCTATATACATTGTACAAAAATAATTTTTCCAAATGTATTTCTCCAAACAAGAAAATATACCTGAATTATATATCTACAAATGTAGATATATGAAAGAATAGATGGAATAGTGCTTCCATATTCAAAGGTGGTGTGTAACTTGAGTGCTTCTTGACTGAGTTTCTGCTCAATGATCAGGTGGCAGCTCTGACCAGAAAGGCCTTCATCTGGTGCATCAGTTCTGCCCCTTCCTAAATTGGGCAGGGAGCGGCAGGGAGTCCTTCAGATAGTCACTCACCTTGATCACCTCATGGTTAGGCTACTGCAATGCATTCTATATGGGACTGCCCTTGAAGATTACCCCAAAACTCCAACTGGTCCTGAATGCAGCAGCATAGATAGTGATGGGCATAATTTAGTATCCCTCTGTAACATCTCTGCTTCAATAGCTGTACTAGT